ATGTCCTTAGATTATCAATGGTATTGTTTTCTTCAAATAAAAAGAACACTCTTATGCTAATGTACATTTCATTTTCTGGACATACTTCCACATTGTCTATCCAGCTTTAAATTTTCTTAAATGAAGAATTGGAATTTCAGACTCATTTCCCCCTATAGTCTTCGTTGACCTCAACCATCCGCTGCAATGCACATTCCTGAGGAGGCTGAGTGCTAAGCAAGAAAGCATCTTCTTTGGCACATCCCTTTGAATAAAACCTGGGCGTCTGCTGGCCAGAATGAAACGTGAAGTGTGGTTTTGACTGTTGAAGCCTCAGTCCAGAAGCCTGTGGCGCTGATCCTCTGCAGGCCACAGCTGCCCAGCTTTCCTGGCCATCCCTGCTCGGTGCGGTTTTCTGCCTCATTCATCACACCAGTGTTACCGTGTGAGGTGATTGGTCACATTATATTTAGCATCAAACCTTTCTCTGACTTACAATATGCAAATGTTATTCATCAGATGCTGGCTCTGCAGCTGTTGCCTTTTTTTGAGGCCCTAGCCGATTTTACTTGCCTGAGGATATCCGGGTGTAAAGGATTAAAGTGGAATCTTGATTTACCACACTATAGGAGGCTACTCAGTCTAGTGTTTATTTATACATTGTGCACTGGGTGAAACCCATGAGGAAACAGAGGCCATTTTAATTAGGCCAGTAGATCCAGATCTTGCATTTTTTTAGTTAAAATATGGCATAAAGGGAGTTGATTCTTTATACTGCTTATCATCTGAACACAAGAGCCTCTATTATGAAGTGATCATAAAGATTTGGTGTCATGGGAATGCTGTTTAGTATCATTCTATGAGCAGCTAGATTTAACAATATTAATTTGCCTTAGTATGAAGAGGTTTTAGGGACTTCTTTGTGAGTGTGTGTGTGTGTGTATGTATGTGTGTTTTAAAATTTTTAAATCACATAGTATCAGTCCCTTTAAGATAGTCGTAAGAAAAGTAATTACTTTCACATCATATCAGGTTTTAGTGGTTTTGCAAAGTTCCTTTCCCCTAGTAGCTATTGAGCCATTGAGAGCATTGCCCCAGGGAAATAAAAAAGAGTGGTTAAGTGCACAGCAATAGGTCTTTAACAAATACTTGTCATTAGATTGCCTGTCCCTTTTTTTCTTCCACTGGGAGGTAAAAAAGCTTGGAAGTCCAATCAGAGTTGACCGTTGAATAACATGGGTTTGACCTTCGCAGGTCCACTTATACATGGATTTTTTTTTTCCAACGCAGTACTGCACAATGCAGTTGGTTGAATCTGGGGATATGGACAGCTGACTGGGGGACTTGAGCATCTGTAGATTTTGGGGTCTGCTGTGGGTACTGGAACTGATCCCGTGAGGATACCAAGGGATAACTGTATTTCTTTTTCCTTCCTTCCTCTCTTTTTTCCCTTCCTCTTTCCCTTCCTTATTTTCTTCCTTTTATTTATTTCTTTAGGTATTTATTGGGTGCCTTTTATAAAACTCTTGTAGAAACTGAGAATGTATCAGTGACTTGAGTCCTTACCTTCATGGAGTTTATTTCTAGGTGTAAAAGACAAAAAAAAAAAATCACCCCCCAGTACAGACCACTTTATGTAGGCATTTGTAGGTCATAGAAAATATTTTGGATTTTATTCCGAGTATGGTAGGAAGCTGATGGCCGATTGAGAAAAGAAAATGACAGGATCTGGTTTATCTTTTAAAATGCTCACTCAGACTGCTGTGTGGGAGTTAGATTGTAGAGGTGGGGACAATAGTTAAGGTGACCAGAAGGGAAGTGAGAGGTTAGGGGGCAGCGGTGAGATATGTGTGTGTGTATATGTATGTATGTTTCAAATCCAGAGCTTGTATGGTTGCAAAGTATTAAAAAGGATAAGATCAAGGATGATGCCTTAGTTTTTGGCCTGAATAAGCCAGTGAATGTAGTGATCATTTACTGAGATGAGAAAGGCCTAGGAAAAGCAAGTTTGGAGTGGAAGTTTGAATTATTAAGAGGACATGTAATATTAAGATACCTATTAGACACCGGAATGGAGATGTCACCTATGCAATTGGAAGTGTAAGTCTGGAGTTACAGGCAGAAGTCAGGATAGGCATTTATGTGTGGAGCCAGTAGTCTGTAGATGATGATTAAAGCTGTGAGGAAGAGAGAATGAGATACCGAGGACTGAGCAGAGGGTGAAGAGTCTGCTCCTCAGACTTGAGGCATGCCAACATAAAGTCAAGAAGAGGAGATCCTGCAAAGGAACCCAAGATGGAGAGGAAAAAAAGAGCATTTCATGAAGGATAGAATAGTCAGTTGTATTAAATGCTAGTGAGAGGTCAAGTAAGATGAGGCTGAGGAGTTAACCACCGGATTTAACAATATGGAGGTGGTCTTTGGTGTTAGTAGAGCAATGGAAACCAAAATCTGATTTAAGTGAGTTCAGGAGAGAATGGAACTAAGGAGGTAATAACAGTTGTACGGGGGATGACTGTTGAGTCTTGCTGCTGACGGGAGCAGAGCCTAGGAGAAGTAGCCAGAGGGAGATAGGAAGTCAAAGGAAGTCTTTGTCTTTTTTGATTTTTGTTTCTTTAATAAAGTTCATCCTTTGTGGGGGAAAAAAATAGGAGGCAGGATATATGGACACAGATGCTGGTAGCCTGGTAGACCTGATGGTAGGAGGACAAAGTTCTCTTGATTGTTTCTGTTTTGTATTCAAGGAAGTAAGACACAAAATCATGAGCTGAGAGCAAGAGTGAGGAGAGAAGGGGAAAGAGCACACATGTTACAAGTTTGAGAGGCAGTGAGAAGGAGTGAAATAATTATTTTGGAGTGTATGTTTTCTATTATTCCACACTTTTGAGACTCTGAGATAACAGTGTAATCTCAGGAATACCAAATATTCGTGTGAATGTTCTAGTAAAGGGAACCAGAATAAGACTAGTTCAGGCTGAAAGTCATTAATTATAGCCAGGATGCCTTGCCCCTCTGATTTGTTCAGGGAATGTATAAAAGTCATTTAATAAGTTCCAACTGAAAATTTTTTTAAATAGCTAATATATGTACCTGGTTCAAAATGCAAAAGGAATAAATGTGTAAGCAATGAAGAGTTTCCTTTTCTTGGCCCCCTACTACCTAATTTCTTTCCCTCAAGTCTGTCAATAATAGCACTTTCTTGTGTTTCTTTCCAGAGATATTTTATTGATCCACTTTTTAAAAGCTAAATATATACTAAGATTTTTTAAAATTATCCTTTCTCCAATTAAGTAAATACTTTAAAAAATTACACTGATATTTCTCTTTCCTCTTTAATTTATATGAAAATAATTCTAGAAAGAGCATCTGTTTTAATGTTGACTTTGTAGTGTTGACAGCCATCTGGCAGGAGTTGTATCTGTTAGATTTTTTTTCTTGAAGATGTATGGTTAACAAGGTTCTTTTTTCTTTTTTGTCTTCACAGCTGATCTAGCATCTTTAATGGATAAAACATATGAGAGAAAGCTGCCTGTTAGTTCTTTGACAATATCACGGGTAAGAAAACTTAAGTAGATACATATTTTCTAAGAGGAAGGAGAAAGAAAGCAAGAAAGGCTCATTATATAGACTATATATAAATCAATAAAGACTGTCTTTCATAGGAAATATTTTTCCAGAACATGGTATGTTTTTGTAGTTACTAATAGATGTTTTTTGATGAAGTAGCAAATTTCTGTGACTGAAATAAGCGGTAATAAATTTACCAGACTGTTGTGTATCTGATTTATTTTAATTTTTCCAGGATATGATATTCTACTATATGATACATAGTTTTTTTAAGTTGGTATACCCTTCAAAGTGATAGTATTCCCTTGTTAATATTGGAAGCAATTTTGACAGTTGAGACAGTTTATAAAAGAGTAGATATTGATGTTAATGTTGAACTCTGCATAGCAATGGATGGGGGAGTAATATGAGGCTAGGACTTAGGAATAGGAATTGATTGTAACCATCACTGATCACCTTCTATACCAGCTACTGTACTAGTTTCTTAACATTGATTATCTTGCACTTCCCATAGCAGCCATACCAGATACGCATTATTAACTCTGTTTTGCATGTAAGATCCAGAATGTTGATGACTTTCCCACATGGAGAAATTGGACTTCAAACCCAGATTGTTGAAGTTCTTTTCTGTTGCCTCCCTCAAATGGATCTGATCTTGTCTTCATGAATTTGATTTGTGACATTGGGCAACTGGGCCCCCCTCAGTTTCCTCATATTCATTGTGGAGACAATAGTATCTTCCTCACAGGGCTGATGGGATGCTAAATTGAGATCTTAGTTGTGAAAGCTTTGTAGAAATCAATGGCACCATAAAATTCAGGGTATTGTTAGATCTAGAAGAGGGAAAAAATAAACCGTCATTCTTTTTGGTCTGAGTCCTTTCTTTCTACTCCTTGATAGTAGGGAAACCATTTAGCTAGGTCAAAACCTGAATTGCATAGGCTTAGAATTTTCATATTGGAGGGGAGCTGAAAGACCACTGGTTCATCCCTTACACGATGGCTGAAATCTCTTTGTGCCCTAGTACCTGGTGTCGGTTGAGGCAGCACTTTAGAGTTTAAAGAGCTTTCCCGTACCTTTTCTTATGGAGCCTCATACCCTTCAGTGCAGGTGCCTGTATTCTATTTATGCACCTGAAGCAACTTATTCCAGAGAGGCTGTACCATCTGTATATGCCACACAACAAACCATCAGGAGAGCTAGTTCTCAGCTTCAAGTCCTGTGTTTGAACTGTATTTTATCTGCCTCTTAAAGAGAGTTCTAAATCAAATCTGTAAATCCTAAAAAAGGGGGGGAAATTTGTAAGTCTCCGCCTCTTTACTCTCCTCTCTTTCTTCACAAGATTTTAACTGTTCACTACGTGCATTCTCTCTTACTTCATCCCTTTCTCCTCTGAGTCTCTATTTTGGAGTAGATTCATCCTTAGAAGAGTCTTTCCTGTTCTTCCTATGGTTTAGAGTTAAGGAACACACTCAGGGATTTTGTGGTTCAAAGGGAGACTTTGTTGGTAGAAGAATCACAGGTGTACTGGTCCATAGTAGAACCGAATCAGAGTAGGAAAAATGGTAATAAGACTTCTCTAAATTTAGATTTTCCTCTCCTTGGGCCATATGTTTTCAGCCATTAGAAGCTTCATCCTTTCAATTGTATGCTCCCATGTATTTGGAGCTAGGAACACGGAAAATATCAGTGTCTAAAGATAAAGGGAAATAGTGGTGACTAATTATGTACTAAGACTAGCTCTCTCTGGTTCTGAGCAAGGTTCACGTTTAGTTTTCACACAGTTCTAACCAAATTTGTTCTACACATAGGAAAAGAAGCCATTCTATGTTCTTTGTTTACACTAGGATAAGGGGGTTTCAAGGATGGAGCCATTAATGTGAACGCCATTCCAATAAAATGAGTGTTTTGTTTTTAAGGTCAAACTGTGAATTAGGCTCAGTATATGGCATAATCTGTATTCATCCAAAGATTTTTCTTTCTGTCTTTTAGTTTGTGGACAACATTTCATCTCGAGAAGAGATAGACCATGCAGAGTATTACCTTTACAAGTAAGTTTTCTGTTTCACTTGATGATATATTCTCTTATTTCATATCCGTTTTTAACATGAAAGGTGATATGTACTGTACATAATGTTCAATGCCTTGTTTTTTAAGTTTCTGCTTTGGAGATCTTCCCATATCCGTGTATAGAGAACTTCTTCATTTTTTATAACTTTACCATATTGCATACTGTGAATGTATTTTTAAACCAGTTCCCTATGATATGGCCTTTAGGTTGTTCTCTCTTTTTGTATGATGTTCAATGCAATCGTTAATAACCTTGTACATAGATCATTTTGCACCTAGTTCTCATATGTGTGTACATTTGTAATTGCAGCTGCTGTTGCCAAATTGCTTTCTATTGAGGTTTCACCAATTTACCTTCTTACCGGCAGGGTATGAGAGAGGCCTGTCTCTACAGCTTGACCAGAAGTATTTTCACACTTTTGGATTTTTGTTTGTCTGATGGGTGAAAAATTCTATATATATTTATCTCTTCTCTTCCTTTTTTATTAGCTGGAAATACACTCTTTAAGCACTGTTTAGCACCTATTTTCAGTTAACACTGCATTTTAAAACTTATTCTTCATTACCACATTTACTTCATTCTTTCTCACAACTGGGAACAATCCCACTGAACTATAGATACAGTCACCCCTGTGTATGAAGGAGCATATTCATTACAGCATTGTCTATAGCAGCAAAAACTGGAATAACCTAAAGCTTATTAAATAAAGGACTTATCAAATAAATCATGATTTATTCTCATAGTTGATTTTTCATCTACCAGGTATCAAAATGATACCTTGCAACTTTTTATTGTGCTTCCTTATTGTGATTTTAAAAATCTGATTTATGATTTGTTCCAATTCCTAGTCTGCAAAAAGAGATTCAGATTGAAATGTTAAATGTTTCCAGTAAGCATTGCATAGAATTTCCCATTTGATCTTACTTTGTGTTGATCAAGAGAGTATTCAGTTATTTCCATCTTTATGTTAGTGAAAACTTACCCCATTTTCTTTTATGTGACTTTGCTAATTAGTAATGACGCTTCTTTTCTTTCTGAATTGGGTAGATTCTACCATCGTTGTGGTGATTTCTGTTTAAATATAAATCTCTACTACTATAACTATAGTTAATCTAATCTACTCTATAACTACTAGTTAATCTAATCTACTTGAGCATCTGCCGTTAAATCAGGTGCACATCTTAAAAATCTTTTATTTTAAATCTAATATTGCCTTTAACAGTGTCCTAAGTTTAAGTTCTAGGTCCTGAAATTATAATCGTAAGTTCCCTCCTGCCCTTCCTTAAGATAAACATAAATGGATCCCTTGATGAGAGCAAACCTTGCCTTCCTTTCGTGGTTCTTTGGCACTGTAGGCCTCCTCTGGTAGTTATTTTTGCCTATGGTGAAAGATGTATTTGGGCTGGCACCTGCCCAGTTCTCATTCTTTTGCTTTGTTTGTGACAAAAATGCAGAAAATAGATCCAATTTATAAATAGAAACTATTTTTTAGAATTCCATCCTGTAGGACACAGTGCTATAGTCTTAGAAGAAATACGTCCCAAATCTGCATGTACCTCTAGTGTATAATTGATTTCAACAATTCAACATTCAGCACGTACTTACTAAGCACATACTGTGTGCCTAGGCTTTGTTTAAGTTGTGGGCATATAGTGATGAGTAAGTTAGACACTGTCCCTGTCTTCATACATTAAAGTTTAACTGAGAAATTTAAGTCCTACCTAAAGACCTTCCGTATCCAGTTTTGAGACTTGGAGTCTTACTGAAAGTTTCATAAAATCTCTACTTCCTGTTTTTATATAGCTCATATAGAAGACTCTTGGCCATCTTAAGTCTGAGCCATTGTTTAATCTGATATTTCATTCTTTACTGGTGTTCTAGTCATGGCTTATCACTCTTTATTTGTATTCTTTCTCTTCCCTTCCATTACCAAGAAAATTAGCTTTTTCTCAGCTTTTTTTTTTTTTAAAGAAAGAAACATTTCTATGACTTCATGAGATTCCTGTTGTGTGTGTGTGAGACTAGGTACAATGCCGTAAAGCCGCATCAGGTATAGATAGTGGAGGTTGGCCAGTGTTCACTCATCAGCCAGGTATCAACTGCTTTCCGGCCTTAGAGGACATGGAAAACATATTTTTTGCTTGTAATTTTTTTTACAAACATATTTTTGTAACCTGAAATTTTGCCTCAGCAAAATTACAAGTTACAGTTATGAACTCTCGGGATTTCTCTCCATTAATTGAAATCAGAAATGTTAATAATCCTGAGGACACCAAGGGCATGCGGGGTTTCCACCAGTTAAGTCTTCAGCATGCGTGGTTGCAATGCCTAACATTTCTATGTGGGATGACTCTAGATAGCTCAGAGTAAACTTAGAATTACAGGTCAAGGTTGCAGAAATACAGGAGCAATTTCTTAATCCTACAACTAACAGCTTCTTGCTGGCCTGCCTTGAGGATTTCTTATTCCCTAAGCATGACCATCTTTGAGGGGAAGGCCCACGACAGGACTTTTGGCTGCCACCACTGTTGCTGGCGCAAATCTTCCCCTGCCTCAGCTTGTGGAGACCAGACCCTGCAAGCGGAGCTTAACTGCCGCATCCTCTCATCTTCTAGTGATCAAATTTCCCCAGTGGTTATGTAAAGGCCATTAGAGCCAGAGAAGTTTGGAAGCCTGTAGTGATCAGTGAAGAGCTGATTGGGCATCTGTCATTGAATCAGGTGCACAAATAAACAGTTCCAAGCCCCGGCGGTTCGGGGAGCTTCCGGCACATGCCAGCTTGTTACCATGCTGTCCTCCCAGGAGAGAATTCCAGCCTTTAACTCTCCTGAAGTACATAGGGGCATCAATGTTAAAGAGTCCCAGGGATCTTTTTAGGAGAGTTAGAGACACTGTTGTTCACATAGCAGGAGGGAGGACAGATATCCAGCCGCTCCTGTTCAGACTGTGGGCTGTTCTCCGGGGGCTGACAACCTTGTGATCAGTCTCCACCCTGCCACTTATAAATTAAAAAATGGGAGCACCAAGGAAAGGGAAATGATACTTTAAACAAAGATACCGTGAGCTAAAGATGATTAAGGCAGCCAATACCAGGAACTATATAGGTTGTCAATAAAATTTTTTAAGAAACTTGATTATACTCCACAACAAACCAAGAGTAAAAGTGATTAGAACAGTCAAGAGTCTAAATGGAATAACCAGAATATGGAAGCTAAGAAAGAAGAGAACAAAGCCTGCTAAGAACTGTTGGACAGTAACAAATTAAAACACAATTAAAATAAGAGAATAAAAAAGTAAGAAATAAAATTAAAAATGAAACGAGAAGAGGGCCGCAAGCTAGGAGCTTCACGAGTGTGCGCAGATGCGGCTGGGAGGGTAGGGAAGCAGGCACCGGCCCGCTCCCACGGAGGCTCTCCGCAGGCTCAGAGTAGATCTCTCTCTCAGCGGTTTGCAAACTGTCTTCCCAGAAGCCCTTGGGCTGGTTCCTCACAGAGGCCTCCGGGGTGTGGGTTGAGTGGGGTACGCTGTGAGGGAGGGGCCAGGCAGTGATGCCATCAGCCCTCTGCTTCTGCTCCAGCCAGAAAAGCCATGCCTCCAGCTGCTTCATGTATCAGGTCTAAGGAGAGAATGCAGGAGGGTCTGTGAACTTAGATGAGAATAAAATTACATTTTTATTTTCAGTAACCTCTCAATAATATTCAGCTTTGCCTTCAATTATGAATATAGGCAACAGATCACAGTATTATTAGCAACATCAGTGTCTTTCTCACCAATAAAAATCATTGATTTTTTATATATCTCATTACATATGTTGCAGATATCTTGACATATTATGCTTATCACTGCATAGAAATTGCATTTATAATTAAACAACTGCTAGCTAGTGTTATTTCCTACGTTGAAGAAGCATGTGTTCTCCAGGATTTTTTTTTAATGTTTTGATCATTCTGTTTCTCTATAATTGATTTCCTTTTTAACCCTGTGCATTTAAAACATTGGAGAAGTTTCATCAGACTATGTGAGAGTTCATCCCACAAAAAAATGTTACGAACCTCACTGTGAAATCATGTTTGAAAAAGACCTTTTGCTTAGGCTTATTCCTGCTTCTTCCCCTAGGCATTTTAAAGTTTTCTAGTTTTTTTTTTCTTACTAAAAAGTCATTCTTATTTTAGGTTAGACCTCATAGAGTAAGACAAACATATGGCTGATATGTGTTCCGTTATCCAAATGAAAACTTAGGTACAGCTCGTCTATTGTTACCTCACTGGAGCAGGAAGAGTGTGGTGAAAAGTGAGATTTGGACAGGCCCTGGGGTGCTGTCTGTCAGGAAACCAGTGCTAGGATGGGGTTGGGCAGGAGCACTTCTGCTCCATTTTGGTGTCATCACCCCCAGCCCCACCCCACCCCACCCTCGGGCTGGCAAGGGGAGAAGCCCCCGCACTGTAGCAGCAGAGGTTTTGTGGCTGGGAGGAGAAAGCTAAGAGAACAGCACGGCTGACGGCAGCTCAGAGAAAGCAATGCTCCGTGATTGGTGAGCATGAAAAGTTGACTGCTGACTTACGCTTTACCTTTGTTAAAAGGAGGCTTGTATGTCCCATGTTAGTTTTAAAAAGAATTGGGCAAACTAGTTTTTGTCCTTGGGCATAGGATTAATTTCTGCTTCCTACCCATATGCCCTTTCGCTAACATTTGAAGAAAAAGGGTTTCCTACCTTTGTTTTACTATAAACTTACAGTCTGATTTGCATCTTTATTTTACTGATGCAAAGACTAAGGCATGGAGATTCACTGAGTGCACCCCACATAGAGGGTGTGATGTAAGCCACTGTCTGTCCTGGTCTGAGAAGGGAAACCAGGAAGATAAAATGTGAACAGTGGGACAGTGCTAGAAAAACCAAGGCAGTGCTTTCCCAGTGCAAGATGGTATCGATAAGGATTTCAAATGGGGCTATAATTTATTCTTAAGAAAACTAAGGCAGAA